CCTTGAGAGTGGGGTTAACACTACTACGTTTACTGTTGTTAGGACTTCTAACATTCGTCTCACCAGGCCATAGATTTTATGATTTTATGCACTACAGACAGTGTCGTAACTTTTTCCATTCAGGATTATGAGAAAATGAAAGTATCCCTGTCTACCATGTTTCTACGTTTGATGTCTCTCTCTCGGTTGAATGATCGCCAGCGTTCTATTTCTAGTCGTATTTTGTTGTTCAAGGAGTATACGTCAGAATGGAAATATTTCAGCTTTTTGTTTGGGTTTTATTATAGAGGATGGACGCCAATCTTTTCTTCTGCATTTTTTCTTGGGAAAGGCTTTGCTTTATTTGCATAAGGAACTCAACCAACTGTTTGCAGGTTTATGACTGTCGTATCGGTTACAAGGTGTGTATTTCAAACAATTACTCCCAGTGTTTGATTCCGTAGTTTGGTCATTATCCACAATTTGCAACCAAACCAATTAGTCAAACAGTTTATTAGCTTATGCAAGTAATGAGGGTAAATGATGGGTTTATAAACAAGAATTGTGGAACTACTATAAAGAACTCGCATTCCTTTTTTATTCCAAAGTATGGCATTGTTATTTGATCACTGAATGATTCGCCTATTTAACTTAAATATTGTTGGCTATATTTTACATTTGCTAAATTACGCAATGTTGATAATTATGATATGTGTCACTTCGTGTATGCGTCTTCTACGGAGGATGTTCTGAATTCGTTAAACTGAAGTCATGATGTTCAGTTGTAGAATTCACTTCCAACGGTACCCTGGTTGAAGAAAGACAAACGGATGACGTGAAGCCGGAAGTGGTACGTGACGTATCGTTGGACATGGGCTACAGCAGTGTATCGGCTGATGCGGTGATGACGGTGACCAACGGGTCGCCGGTGTTGCAGAACGATTCATACTTTACGGCTGCGGCGTTGAGCAGGGTCGATAAGTCGGTGAGCAGAACTGAAGCCGAGGAGAAAACGTCAGAGAAGGCGAATGAACCGGAAACGCTATCTGTCAAACACAAGGCGGAGATGACTTCACACAAGAATCCGAGCTTCATCGACGATGAATGCCTTACCGCGTCGACCATCAGAGTTTCAGCGTGCTTCCCGTCTAGTAATAAATCAGAGATTGGCGGCAAGCAGCGGTCTGCCGTTTTAGCCGATACAAAA